GAGGACAAAGGTCCTTTTCTTGCGTCTGAAAACGTTGCAGACCCTACCTGAGGGCACTGATATATACCTCAAATGCCCTTGCAAAAACTCCACAGCCCGAGGAATCTGTATCCTGGGGGATGGGCCCCACTCTGCCTAGGATGCAGTCACAGGAAGAAATCCCTCACTTTTAGTTCCTCCGAAGGAGCTCTGATAGCACAGCGCCTAGGGCATCAGACTGCAAACCAGCAGGTCGGTGTTCAAACCCACCAGCGACTCTGTGGAAGGAAGATGGGGCGATCTACTTCCACCCAGCTTTACCACTTCAGAAACCCAATGGGGGCCACTGTGGGTCGGAATTGACTTGATGGCAGTGGCTTTGGTTTTTGGTTTTAGTTCCTCTGAGTCTGGTCCTGGTCAACCCGTCCACACATGGGCTGTCTGCTAAACACCAAGATGGCTTCCCCATGCTCAGGGCAGAGCGCCTGGGCTCTGGGTCTCTCCTGCCCATAGCAGCGGCTCTGCGCCCTGTTGATACCTGCACCTAAGACTTTTACTGGACTGAAGGGTTTGGATGAATAGGCCTGTGACTGGCACAGAAGAGAAAATCAATAAATATTTGCTGAGGGTTTAATGAATAACCACTGTCGGGCAGAGGCCATCTGTGTTCCTGGGCACACACACCTGAGTCACCCTGACTGTTGTCTTGCCACTCACCAGGCCCATACCTGCTGCCCCATCAGTGAGCCTGCACCCCGGACACATGGTTGTGCCCCAGCAAGCAGACCCCACCCCACGTGGACCCGCTGGATTTCTGTACTGATACTTACTTTTCAGTTCACAGCGTCTCTTCTGTGCCGAGTTCCTGCTTCACTGCAGAGAGAAACAATGGCTCCCTCTCCCACTCTGGAGACTGCAGTCTCCCCAAAAGCACCACACAAGAAAGGCCTGGCTTTCTACTTCTGACAGTCAGCCATGGAAAGCCCTCTGCAGCACAGCCCTACTCTGCACACAGGGGGCGCCACGAGTCAGAGTTGGCGCCACGGCAGCTGGTGCTGCTCCTGTAAGGCCAGCCTCCCCTCCCCCAGGGCGGTCCTCGGTGGCAGCCTGGACCCCTGGGTTCCCTGACAGTCCCCAGGCCTGCAGCCGCCTGCCAGCTCGGTCTCAGAAGTACCTTCAGGCTCTGCTGCTTCCCTCAAGCCCCCTCTTGCGTCCCCGGCTTACTGCTCTGATTGCCTGTCTGTGTGTCTGCAATGGCCTCCCAAGGGTCTGTCTGCTTCCGCTCTTGTCCTGGCACCACAAAGCAAGCAAACCCACAAAACCCCTGCCATCAAGGCTGTTCCGAGTTAGAGAGGCCCTTTAGGTCAGAGTAGAACTCCCCCAGAAGGTTTCCAAAGCTGTAAATATTCATAGAAACAGACTGCTTCATCCTCCCTTGAAGCAGCTGGTGGGTTTGAACCGCTGGCCTTTTGGATAGCAGCCACATGCCTTAATGTCTGCACCACCAGAGTCCCTTCCAATGCAGGCAAAGGAGTCCTTTGATGTCACAGAACAATCGCCCCAGGCAGGTTGGCAGGGACAGACATGGAAGACTTCATCCAGCAATTGTTGTAAGGGAGGGAGGGGAGAAGAGAAGGGGGAAACTACTGCAGGGGAAGGCAGGACTGCACTGAGGAGAGACCAGCCCCACTCCTCTGTGACAGGGAAATGAGCAGTGTGTGGAAGACAGCTAAGGTCCAGGGCTTGATCACGGGAATTTGCAGTCAGGGCCGGCTGGCTGGGCACGTTTTCTTTCCTTGTGATCAGTCCTCCTGGAGAGGAGCAGAGAGTGGGAGAGAAGAGATTCCCGGGTTGGGGGCCCAGAAATTGCAAAAACTTGTCAGGAGGGAAAGCAGAGAGTGAAAGGGAGGGGTTTCTTCTGCCACCGCAGGTCCCCCAGGATCATTGTTCATTGCTGTGGCGTTTACCCCGACTCATGGTGGCCCCATGTGTGCAGTGTAGAGCAGTTCCAAAGGATTTCCAAGGCAGGGACCTTTTGGAAGCAGATGGACAGGCGTGTCTTCCAAGGCACCTCTGGGTGGGTTTGAGCTACCAACCATTCAGCTAGCTAATAGTTGAGAACGTAACCATTTCTGCTACCCTGGCACTGCCTTGGATCACTGTTGTTGCTGTTGGAAGGTGCCATCGAGTTTGTTCTGACCCATAGGACTCCATATACCACAGAATGAAGCACTGCCCGGCCTGCCGCATCCTCACAATTGTTGCTACGCTTGAATGCATCGTTGTAGCCACTGTGTCAATCATTGAGGGTCTCCCTATTTTTTGCTGACCCTCTACTTTACCAAGAAAGATATCCTTCTCCAGGGAGAATAGGGAGAATAGTGTCGTTTCACTTTCAGGAAAACGACATCATTTTGCAGGTTAGAAACATTTTACGTTTATATTGGTGTTTACATTGTGAGAAGAGATTCTGGTCAACAAGAGGTAGTTGTCTGAAAATTAGGAGGCCTGATGACACAGAGGTTAAGCACTCAGCTGCGAACTGAATGGTCAGTGGTTTGAACCAAGACAGGGTTGTTCATTCTTCCGGTAGTCCATGGATTAGTTACTATTCTTCACCAACACTGTAATTCAAATACATCCCTTCTTCTTCACCACCACTTGTCTCTCAGTCTATCATACCGTGGTGACTTTTGTGTTGCTGTGAGGCTGGAGGCTACGCACCCGTATTTCAAATACCAACAGGGTCAGCCATGGTGGACAGGTTTCAGTGGAGCTTTCAGACTAGGATGGACTAGAAAGGAGGAGCTGGTGATTTGCTTAATGGGTTTGAACCGCCAGCCTTCTGGTTAGCAGTCTGGTTAGCATAGCGCCTTAGGCTATGCTGCTGTTGAGTCGGTTCCGACTCACAGTGACCCCTGCTTGGGTTTCTGAGGCAGTAACACTGAGGAAGTAGATGGTCCTGTCTTCCTTCTGATCCGTAGTGACACGCACATTTCCACTGACGGACAGGTGGTGGCTGTGGATGAGGTGGATTGGCCGGGAGTTGAACCCGGGTCACCTGTGTGGGAGGTGAGAGTTCTGTCACCGAACCACTACTGTCTCTGCTGCTCTAATGTCCTCAAACATGGATAGAGGGGTTGTGCCATGGAATGTGGGGTGAAAGACAGTGAGCGAACAGAGTCCATTAAAGACAGTGAGGTATGGTGGACAGAACCCCACTGTGGCCAGAGTTTCTGCTCCAATGGTCTCTGGATTCATGGCCTTGGTCAAGACAACATGATGATGATGATGATGACGACAACAATAAGAGCTCATCTCCACTGAGGGCTTACTGTTTGCCAAAAACTAGACACAGCATGCTTTATCCGTTAACGCAATGGACGCTCCTAACAAACTAACGTGGTCGGTACTGTTGTTACCTGCATTCACACATGAGGAAATGGAAGCACAGAGAGGTTGGATAACTTACTCAAGGTCACCCAGTAATGAAGCGGTGCTGGGGCAGGCAGACTGGCACCTGAGCCTGCTCACTGACGCCCTGCGTTCTCCCGCCAACCACCTTGTCGGCTGCTGGAACACTGAAGGAGGTAAAGTTGGTGTAGGGCTCAGCGTTGTGCCAGGCATGTGCAGTGAGTAGCAGTGTTCATCACTGGTCTTCTCAAGGAAACCTGGGTATTTGCCAAAAGTCAAACTCACACAAATTCCTCATCAAGGGCCCCTCTGGGATATCCTCCTGGCTTTTGTCCCCACTTCTCATTCTGGTCTGTGACATCCTAGCCAAGTGACACATGCATCTCTGCAGCTGACTGTATCCTTGACTCTCCCTGGAAGTTTGCAGTGTCTCCTTGGCCCTAGGCTGGCCATGGATGCACATTTTCCTCTTACTCAGGTTCACGAGCTCTGTGATTTACCAAGGCCTCATCATGCACGTGGGTGCCACTGGAGCGAGCCTCCACCTCGATTTCTTCTACTCCGCCCTGGTTGAGTTCCCTGCGTCCTTCTTCATCCTCCTCACCATCGACCGCATTGGCCGCCTCTACCCACTGGCTGCGTCCAATCTGGTGGCAGGGACAGCCTGCTTTGCCATGATTTTTATTTCACATGGTGAGTCTGTCCATTTTAATCATCTCCCAATAACTGAATTTTGGGAATAATGTTTGAACACTTTGATAAGCCCCTGGAACAAGTATGCAGAGAGAGTGTTATCTTAGTCTACAACTACTTTTTTAAAAAATTTATATTGAGGTATAATATAAGCACAATGAACAAATGGTAAGTGTACAACTCAGTGACTTTTTGCATCTGTATATGCTTGGGGAAGCACAAATGTTTAAAGGTCAACTATTGGCCCAAAGGTTGGTGGTTCGAACCCACTCAGAGGTTCCTTCAAAGACTGGCCTGACAATCTGCTTCTAAAAGGTCACAGCTTTGAAAACCCTGTGGAGCAGTTGCACTCTGCACCAATGGGGTCGCCATGCTTGAGAACCAACTTGACGGCAGCAATGATAACAACATACAAGGTACTGTGACCTGGGTAACCCACCCAGTGCCGTTGCGTCAGACCCGACACATAGCGACCCCTCCTTGGGTTTCCAAGGTAGTATCACTGCGGAAGTAGATTGTCCAACCTTCCTTCTGAGGAGTGCCTGTGGGTTTGAACCACCAGCCTTCTGGTTGTTGTTGTTTGTTGTTAGGTGCCATCGAGTTGTCTCTTACTCATAGCAACCCTATGCACAGCAGAATGAAACACCACCTGGTCCCAAGCCAGTTCCATGATTCTTGATACACTTGAGCCCATCGCCACTGCCACCGTGTCAATCCACCTCATTGAGGGCCTTCCCCTCTTTCTTTGACCCTCCACCTCACCAAGCATGACATCCTTCTCCAGGGAATGGTCCCCTCTGGTTAGCTAGGGAATATTTTTTGCATCCCAGAAGTCTCCTTCATGTCCCTTCGTAGTCAATACTCCTGCCAGGATATCCAGTACTTGGACCTCTGTCACCACAGGTTAATTTTGCTTGTCCTTGTTCTTCATGTAGGAACCATACCATATATACTCTTTCTTTCCCCTGTGACTTCATCCATTCATCCTTGGGTCTGTGAGATTCATCTATGTTAACACATGAGAGTGCTGTCTGTACTTTTTAATTACTGTGTAGCATTCCATTGTATGAATATAACACTATCCATTCTAATGGGTTGACTGTCATTTGAATTGTTTCCTGATTAAAGCTGCAATAACATTCTTGTGCATGTCTTTTGGGTACACACCTAAGAGGCGTTGCTGGGCTGGTGGGTGGACAAATGTTGAGCTTTGGTAGATACTGCCAAACAGCTTTCCAAAACGGTTGTACCAGCTTGTACTCCCACCAGCAGTGTGGATGAGAGTTTCAGTTGTCCACATCCTCAACAGCACTTGATTTTGCTAGTAAAATTTTATTTATTTTTGTTGTTGAGAATATACATAACAAAACTATACCAATTCAAGTTTCTACATGTCCACTCCAGTGACAGTGATTACATTCTTTGAGTGGTGCAACCATATTCACCTTCCTTTTCTGAGTTGTTCCTCCTCCATTAACATAAACTCACTTTCCCCAAGGTTCCTACCTAAACTTTTGAGTTGCTGTTGTCAACTTGACCCCATGTAGATAGATCTTGAAAAAGCAGACATTCTTTACTCATTTAGCTAAACTGTTGCTTGGTTTTAAGAAGATTTCAGGGCATATTTTTGGTTTAAGTTTTAAAAATTATCTCAGGGCAATTGCTTCTGAGGTTCATCCAGTCCCTGTGGATTCAGAAAGTCTGGATTCTATGAGAATTTATATTCTGCTCTGCATTTCCCCCCTTTTGGTTAGGATTGTTCTATAGAATCTTTGATTAAAATGTTCCATAGTGGTGCTAGTCTCTTCAATATTAGCCATGCTGGTAGATGTATATTTTAGTCTATAATTATTAGAATCCTAGATAAATCAAAGTAGATGAATCTTAAAACCAACCAAACTCACTGCCATGGAGTAGATTCCAACTCATAGAGACCTTTATTCGGTTTCCGAGGTGGTAAATCTTTACGGAAGTAGATTGCCCCATCTTCCTTCAGCAGAGTGGCTGATAGGTTTGAACCACCAACCTTCCAGTTAACAGTCAAATGCCTTAGGCACTGCACCATTGCAGCTCTTTAGATTAATCTTGTTGTTGTTGTTATGTGCTGTCGAGTAGGACCTGACTCATAGCGACCCCTCCTTGGATTTCCGAGGCAGTATAACTACGGAAGTAGATTGCCCAACCTTCCTTCTGAGGAGTGGCTGGTGGGTTTGAACCACCAGCTTTCTGGTTAGCAGTCAAGTGCCTTAGGCACTATGCTACCAGAGCTCCTCAGATTAATCTTAGTCTGAGGACATAAACTGCCTTTCACATTCTTTGCTTTTGGAAGTGTCGTTAAATAAATACCGAGGGTGGATTTGCTATTTTCTTGGTTTTTATTGCTTGTGCTTGGCACTTGTTGATGTAATGAGTCATTTTGGTAGGCTTTTGTGCATTGCATTGTGGAAAATGGTCTATGAATTCTGTATTCCCAAGAACAAGGCTATATAGATTAGTGTCTTCATTTCTAGGGCCACTATAACAAACTATCACAAAGTGGATGGCTTCAAAGGACAGAAACTCATTGGCCTTCACTTCTGGGGGCTAGACATCCAAATCAGGGTATTGGCCATGGCGATTCCTTCTGGGGACTCTGAGAGAGGAACTGTTCCATGTCCCTCTCCTGGTTTCTAGTTGTCGCTGGCAAGCCTTGGCTCTTCTTCCTTACAGACAGTTCCTCACATGCTGTCTTCCCTCTGTGTGTGACTTTGTGTCTGTGCTTGCTCTCCCTTTTATAAGACACCACTTTGAAAGGATTAGAACTAGGACCAGCCTACTCCAGTATGACCTTATTTAACTTAACTGATAACATCTGCAAGGGAAAACCCCATTTGCCCACAGAAGTTCATGCTCACAAGTTCAGGGGTTAGGACTTCAAGATATTATTTTGAAGGACACAATTCAATCCATAGCACTCAGGCTGGAAATAAAATGGGGTGGAGAAGGTAAACTCAGTTTTCCTCTCTCTTCTTTTGTGGGGAGAGACCACAGACAGGAAAAAGGCAGAGTGGATTTGAAATAGATTCCACCCACTGTCTTAGTTTCCTAGTGTTGCCATAAGGGAAACACCACAAATGGATGGCTTGAAAGAGCAGAGATTAATTTTCTCACATTTCTGGAGGCTCAGAGTCTAAATCAGGGTCTTGGCTATGTCAGTTCCATTGTTTCATCAGTTCTGAGAGTTCCTTGGCTTGTACAGAATCCTCACAAGGCATCTGCCCTCCTCCACGTGTGTGTTTCTGTGTCAAATATGCTAATTTGATAACTTAGAAGTGATTAGATTTAGAATCCACCCTGCTCAGCTCTGATCTAATCAGTGTAACTGATATTTAATATCTAATCAGGGTAATCTTATTTCCAAACAATAGTACATTCACTGGTATGGGGAATATTATCCCAACACATCTGTTGAACAGACACAATTTAATCCATACACATTTTTTTCCCCAGCTCCCTATTTTGGGTTGGTGGGACATGGGAATCCTGGGTAATACTCAATGACTGGACAGATTTTTTTTTTTTTTTTTAAATAACAACACTGAGTTCCAAGAAATATAACACTGCCTTGGGTCTGTTCTTCTGTCCTTAGCAGAACTTGAGCTTTGTCTCCTTTGGTGCTGCCCCTTCTCAGACTATTGGCATACCTGATTTTATTGCAATATTCACTTTATTGTGGTGGTCTGGAACTGAGTCTGCACTATCTCCAAGGTATGCCTGTATTTTGGTATTAAAATATGTTAGGAAATGAACACTAGATTGAGAAGTAGAACTTTGGCATATCTGGTACTTATTCCAGGACTATTGCCTAAAGGAACTACACTTATAGTGCTGACTATGCTCAGGCTCTGTGCTAGCATCTATACTATTTGAAGTGATTAAAGCCAACGTCCATGGAGCACCATGACGGACATGGGACACACATTATCTTTAATTCCCACAACAATCTACAAACTGAGTACAATTACTTCCCCTGTATAGCGAGGGAAACCAAGGCACAAAAAAATAAACTATGTATCCAAGTTCACACAGCTGTCAAGTTCACAATGCTGAGATTCCAGCATTCTTTCCTCTGTATAACAGAACCTTCCCTAATGCATCATTATCAAGGTCTGTCATCTCTCTGTGACTCAGTTCGCTCGCCCCAAAAGGAAACATTTTGCTCGAGGAACTCTATAGTTTTAGGTTTCACATTTAAGTCTTTGATCCATCTGGAGTTCGTTTTTGGGTATGGTGTAAGGTACAGATCTTGTTTCATTTTTCTGCAAATGGATATCCAGTTTTGCCAGCACCAGTTATTAAACAAACATTCTCTTCCCGATTTAATGGATTTCGGCCCTTTGTCAAAGATCAACTGACCATAGGTTGATGGATCTATGTCTGGGTTCTCAATTCTATTCCATTGGTCTATGTATCTGTCATTAAAACAGTACCAGGCAGTTTTGACTACTGTGGCTGTATGTTGTTGTTGTTAAGTGCCGTCGAGTCATTTCCGACTCATAGCAACCCCATGCACAGCAGAAAGAAACACTGCCCGATCCTGCGCCAGCCCCACAATCCCTGCTATACTTGAGCCCATCATTGCAGCCACCATGTCAATCCATCTTGTTGAAGGCCTCCCCCTCTTTCGTTGACCCTCCACCCTACCAAGCATGACATCCTTCTCCAGGGAATCGTCCCTTCTTACAACATGACCAAAATAGGTGACACGAAGTCT